TAGGCATCTAACTCCGGAGCAGCTTGAAATGGCGACATTGCAACTGTATGAGCGAGGTGGTTATAGTCCCAGATATGGCGACATTAACGACACAATGCCAGGTATGCAACAATTCTACCAGCACAATTACGAAGTACAGTACAGAATCTTCCTTTACATTTGCCGTAATTTTCAGTGGTGTGCATATGGTGAAATTACTATTTCGTACCAGGGCGATAAGGGTTCTCGCTTTACCCCATTTCCCACCCCAAAAAAATTGGGAGTTAGGGTAGAGATGGACATTCTGATCACGAATATCACGCTTATTTCGCACCGGTACTACTATAAGGCTACGGTAGACTGAAGGTGCTGGAATGGATTTGAAAGTCGTTTCAAAGGAGTCTTTTATGCTGGTCTTAATAATTAAGATGTGACGTTTTAAAGTAAGCTGGCATACGTCATTATTCACCCTCAATTCAGAAGTTGATCAGGAAGATGAAGATCAAGTATTTGGGCTGAAATGAGAAACTCGAATATCATAGTAGTCTTGTCTGATTTAAAATGCGATTCAATTATGATAATCGTGATTAACATTGCTAATCTCATCGGGGGAGTTTTCAAGTCAATCTATGATTCTAAATTACTACCGTCTTTAGTTTAACCTAAGCATAACCATTATTTGACACACTGGACACGAATCATACCCATTCCGTACGATCCTATCGTTCCGAGAGATATAGTTTTCGTGACCAGCGTGTCAAATTTGAGCAAAATCCAAAAGTCCGAGACCTTGGGACTAGTGCAGTAAAACAGTTTTTTTTTAGTGGGCAATTCACTGATGATTCTGAAACTTACTTGTTTTAAACGCTTCTTACCATTTTGCTGACATACCGCTTGTAGCAGTATCATACGTACTACAAATTTTTTGAAACTATGACTAGTAATGCTGCTTATTTCGGATACGTAGCATCTTTTTCTCTTTCCTTATGACACCTTGTCTGCCGTTTTCTTAGGTAGAACTATACAGTTCATACTACCTATAGAGAGAGAGAAATTTCGCAGGAAAAGTCCTTTTGTCGATTTGGTAATTATACTTAACAGCGGCACTAATTTTTAGACTAATGCAAAGGTAGATTGATCAGCTCGCTAGACTGAATTGAAAAAAAAAATACCACCGTTTGGTCGTTTTCGTTCGCAAAGGGTATGTGTTCCGATCAAAATTTAGTAACTGCTTCATGCATTTCATAGATTAGAGATTATGTCAGTTTTCATTGGCACTGACATATAATCAATCTTGAAATCTTTCCAGATTTGCATCTTTTACAGGTATTGAGATTCTGGATGAGGATGCTGATATGAAAGATTTACTAGAGAGAAGAAGAGAGCATCGAAAACAACCTGCTGGTATAACGGTAGGTTTATGCATGCATCCTTTCCGAATCATGAAATTATGAATGTGATATTCGAAAGAAGCACCTTTTTAAGTTTATTTTTTT